TGGTTCAAATATCATTGCAGGCACAGGAGACCCAGAAAGAAAGCAAAGCAACAAGTCACTCCTTCAAGGATTCATAACCTTACAGGGATGATAAGGACAAGACTCTGAGGGCCTTATGCCACCGAACGTCAAGCTTGCTCTTCCACAACGCAAGTGTGAGACAGTGCCAAGACCTTGAGGACCACCTCCTAGTAACACTGAGGAGAAGCAGGAAGGTGGAGGAAGTGAGCAGTTGAGATGGATTCACGAAGGATGGCGATCAGAGCATAACAGTGTGATTGAAAGGAGGAGGAAGATTCAAATGTTAAGCAAAAAAGTATGTGGGATTAAGTGTGGCCTGAGTGATGACGGCGGCTATCCAAAGCTGTGCTCACAGATTGCACAGCGATTTTTTTTTTCAGTTGTAGAAAACAGGTTGACATGTGAGAATCTGAAAGCTGCAGGGCGTGCATTGCATCCTGATAAACTGGAGTCGTCGGCAAGGTACAGGTCCCCAGAAGGGTCAGACACCGAACCTGGACCTCACAGGGGAGAGTTTCCCCACAGGTACAGATTTGTACTTGAAATGCACTGTAGTTTGAGTCTGTGCTTCCTATGACTGCAAGGGAACAGTACTTCTATACTTTATCATGTTGGTTAGCCTCCTGAATAAAGAAGTATCCAAGGCAACTGACTTACTAAGGGAAAAGTGTCTTTTGTCGCTTTAGGCTGTTGGTGGACCTGAGGAATGGCAATTGGAGAGAAGGGTTTTGCAGTCTCACAATCTGCATTAAAGGTGTGTCCCCTATGACCCAAGGATCTCCCACTTGGACCTATTTCCCTTCCAAATAGTACCATTGTGCAGATAGCATGGAATTGACATTTGAACCTCTAGGGGCAGTCATCTAAAGTACAGTTTTTAGTACTTGTTTGAGACCTTGAGACTTGGAAAGCAGAAAAGAGGCAGAATTCCAGTGCAGACAGAGAGAAATGAATCAGAAGATGAGAAGAATGTAGAGTGTGACCTTACATCTGGGTACTTAACATTTAGGGTGTAGTGTGAGGCTGAGTAAGTACAAGAATGCCATTCAAACAAAGGATAACTCCCTGGGGAGGAAGGCAGATCAAAGGAAGAAGACAGGGAAAAGGAGGGATGCTGGGAGCAGGGTGGGTAGGGAGGGCAGCAGACAGTCACACAGAACAAAAACTGTGTAGTGCTCTGAAGGTCAAGGTCAGGAATGCAGTAATTTTTTAAAAAGAAAAGTTTCACTAATGAAACCGAAACATCTCCATTACTCAATATCAGAAAAACCTTTGAAAATCCCCCAGCAAGAAACTATTTCTTGCATAAAGACGACCCATCCTCCCCATCTTTTCATGTAGACCTGTCACTGTAAGGAGCAGAACTGCGGACCAGTAGCACAATGCTGCTCCTAGGAGAAGACAGCAGGAAGCAGAGAATGGAGATGCAATGTGGAAAGGAGAATTCCTGAAATTCTTGCAGAAGAAGAAAGAATGGGAAGCAATGACACATATCCAAGGATAGACTATCTCAGGGGCCAGAGGGAACACTGCTGAAGAAAACCAGATGATGCTCAGCCCTGTGATGCACTTAATTCTGAGGGTCTCTGACATCTTCAGACACATCCAAGAAGCCGCAGAAGGTACTGCACTGCTTCTGGGATCCAGAGAGAAGAGGTTAATGTGATGAGCAATGAGAACCACGGATGGTGGTTTTGAGAAGCCTGAGAAGGTTCTGTTGGAAATCCAGCTCAGGCAGGAAGCCCAGTTCCTTACCACCATGCCATACTTTCTGGCACAGCAGTCTAGATACATTTAAAATAAATTTCATTGTATCTATTCAAGGTATGCATCACAATGTGGGGGCACATAGACCTTAAAAAAATGGTTACTGCTGTGAAGCAGTGGCATCACAGAGGATCCCTTATCTATGTGCGTGGCAAGAATATCATCTACTCACTTGGGAAGATCTTGAGTATGTTAACAACAGTTTACATGTCGGCTCTCTTGACTTGTTCTTTCTATATGTCTGCTCCTTTGTATCTTAGTCTAATTCTGTTGTCTCACTCAAGCATGACAAGAAGGCTGAGGTCTCTTAGGGGACGTCTGTGCCTTCCCATCTGGCTCTCCTATGGTGTCGTCATACCTACTCTCCAATTGGACAAGCCCAATATTGCAAGGTCATGAGTATCCAGCAACATTGTCCCTTCAGACAGGGTTTGGAAACACACAAAAAAGAAATATTGCACTGCATGGAGTAAGATGATTATGTTTAGGGTGAAAACAAGTTAAACGGTGTTTAACTCCGAGTCCTGAGTGCCCAGAACAGTTACACCTGTTAGAGCAGAAAATAGTCAGTTTTCCAAGCATGGTACCAGGGTTCGGTAGCAATGTTATGGGATTTTATTACATACTTTTCAGTCTTATTATCCTGGTGCATTCAATTTAAAACCTGCCTATCAATTACCAAGCCATATGCAAAAAATTTTTAAGGGTCTGTATATACCAGCTTATGAGGTAGAGAATGCACTCAGTGGATAGGGTGAGGGGGCCTTGAGACTGTCTAAAAGAATATCATTAATTTTTACAGGGTACTTTCGTTTCTGGAGCAGCTCCAGCATAGGCTTTCTATAAAAATCATCTCAAGTTCAGGATTATGCTATATGCTTGCAGAAGCATCACAGCAAAAACGTTGTTCCATATGTTGCTACTTAGCAACATAGTCTGTAAGTCCCACAGCAGGCACGGAGCTGGAAACTAAACAGGAATCACAATGTGGAGTGATGGGATGAGGCAAGCTGTCCCGGATTACTAAACTATGCAGCTGTTTGATGTTAGCTAGGAAAGGGAACAAAACTCTCTTCTTTCCTACAGGATGACTAAGATCTCACTTATGGTAGCCTAAAGGACACCTTGATTACAATTCCAAAAACAAAACAAAACAAAACAAAACAACAAAAAACAAAAACATAATGAATTCTTGAACACCGCATATCGCAGGAAGCAAAAAGAATGTTAAGTGTAAAATTTAGCAAAGGCCATTAATTTGTTGAAGTTTATTTGTATTACCTTTCATTGGTCTAATATTTAAAACAACTAATTAAAAAAAAAAGCCTTTTGATACATCTTGCATTATTTAAAAAATACCTTGCTCCTGGCTCACAAAGCTGGCATATCTGTAGAGAGCACAAATTATCTATCTAGATCTCTTTCTTCTTCCATTATAAACAGTCACTGTATTGGAAACAGTCTAAGAACTCCTGACCAAAATATTAAGAAAAACACGGCTGGTTGTTTGATTTTAGTAAGGGATTGATATTCCACACTGAAGCTGAATTTAGAAATCTAAGAAGCTGAATTGCAAAGATGCATATATTCTGAAGTTGCCATCCTTTATCCCAAACTCCTTAAGACGGGCGTAATGGTTCTCTGCGAGCGAGCAGCTGCTTTATAACAGTAATCATTTATTGAGTTTGTGTTTCTACTGTTTCAAACAAATTCAATTAGCCTTCACACTTCAAAACCCTAAAGGCCCAAAGAGATGGTACCGGCTTGCTTTAATCTAATAGTAATACTAAACTTGTCAGTACAGTTTGGGGATTGATGGTTAGAAGCAAATTAATAGTAACATTTTTCATTTTTTAATCAAACAGTCCTATTCAGAACTACCTATGGGTCCTGGAGGGTACTTAGCAGAATGAATTCAGCAAAGGAAGAATTCCACATGCAAAGCTTGCCTGTCAGAGTTGTTCTTACAGTGATCTTCTCAATAGACTGGAAGCCAGCAGAATCCAGGTCTCACAACTTCATGATGACCTTTATGGCTGGACCATATAGCGCAGTGTCCATACTGTCTACCAGACAAGGCAGTGGTCATAATGATGGTTAAATAAATGCTGAGCTCCTGGAGAGGTGTGCCTGTCTGTTTTTAGTTAAGCAGGAGACATTGGCTCAAAGAGAATACTCCTATTATATGCATTACATTGCATTTTCTGACAACCACCATGAAAGAAATATTTTTGTACATCGTGGTCCCTTTGTACCCCCTCTTCTCTCAGTGATCAAATGAACACTGGCAGAGAAATAGGCATTGAAAAGTACGACCTGGGAGTTTATGCGTTCCGTGGCTGGTACGTGAAATCCCAGGCAAATGCGATTTTTACTATTAAAGAAAAAATAGGCTCATGTCCACGAAATGCTCCCGTGAACTCTCCCTACTCTCATTTATTCGCTTATTTATTTTTGCTTATAGTGTTCTGATACTCTATGTTATCCCGGCACCCTAGGGCAGTTATAATTTTGCTTTAACTGCTCTCTCTGGATTAGAGGGCCTGGTTTTAAGTATCTAAAAATAAATAGCCAAGCATTTACTTTTATAAATGTAACCATTAACATTCTCCCTCCACGTTTGTTGTCGCGTCTCATGATTAAATACCTTGTCAACCTTTCCCAGGGAAAAGGACACAAAGGTGCCCTTGAAAGATTTCAATCACGTTTGTGGTCAGAGACCTAAAAGCCACTCTCTCCCCTGTCCCCCAAAATGTCCTAAAAGCAGCCGTCTGGAACTCACCAGCCATGATCCCTCAGTGATGAAGATAATGTAGGTTTGGAAGTGGCCCCAAACAGTTGATAATTGAAGCTATTGGTGGCATGTGTAGCTTACAATGATCAACTCACCCACAGTCAGAAACACAAATAACTTGCACCTGTAAAGACTTTATTTCCTAAAGGTAACACAACTGTTTAGGAAAGCTCATGCTGGCAAAACAGCTGCTTGCCATTCTGGAGAGGAAGCAAGGTAGCATCCTTCAACAAATGCCAAAGCTGGTGTTTTATCAGCTCTATCTCATTAACTGGAAACAAGGCTTAAATGCTTTGTTTATAAATTATGATTATTCCTGATTGCAGCAGTTACTGATAGTGCTACTCATTTGCAATGCAACTCTTTGAATTTGTTTAATTACAATTTGAAACAAGGCAGAGAAGATTAATTAACCCACCTGGCTGGCTGGCACATAGTCCTGGCTCGGCTCTGTCATGCTCATATACATGTTCTCACCGTCAAACTGCGAATGAAATAATAGTAAACATTGAGCAATCTTGACTCTGTGTGTGTGTGTGTGTGTGTGTGTGTGTGTGTGTGTGTGTTTCTCCCCCACCTTCCACCACCAAACTGGAAAAACAGTAGCCATAAAAAATAGCACGGCTGAGAATATGAAAACTCTTTGATAGCAAGTGAGCCACATCTTTCCTTTGATGTTTCTGTTGTCATCTTTCCTGACCTTGCGTGTCAGTGATTTGGAGTAATTAGTGCTCTAGTAATTACAGCAAGCAAGCAAGAAATGAATGGCTTCCTTTCATCTGCAATCTGTTTTAAAACAAAATGGCTCATTTTGCACGCCATGTATACATACTGCAGTTGGGCTGTAATGAAGTATTAAATGAATGGCATGCTTTCTGAAAGGAAAAAAATAATGGGAAATACAAGGAAGCAGAGCCCCGTGCATTCTGAGTTTAGCTCTCAGAAAAGAAAAAGTATGGACTTTCATAATGGACTAAAACTGGCTTCACTCTAACAGCCCTTTGATTAGAAAAGCATTTTAAATTTATAGTAATATCCAAAGAAAGCATTTGCCACCATAACTGTGGCTAAGAATGGAATTTAAGAATAACAAAGAAAACCAATAATAACATACAGGTACCATGATCAAACTCCTTTCCCTGAAATTTTTTCAAGTACATAGAATGAATATAAACAGGCCAATGCATACAAATTGACCCATATATTTACAAGTTAGGAACAAGAGAGAAGGAGAGTATTCACAGGGCAGTCCCATTGCAAAACTACCAAACAAGCCATTACATTGACAGTAGCACAGTAAACATGGTGATGCTGGGTTTGAACCATTGAATTCAATCTGCCCCTATCTTGAGTCACTTGGTAAATGGGGAAATAATTCCTCTTTTGTTAAGAAAGATTTTTTTCCCTAAGGTAGTCATCAAATGTGCCAATACAATCAGCTTCAAAACTAGGTCTGGATATGTGCCCAGTGGTAGGCTTTCCAGACACGGGAACTTGGAAAGAGGATCTACTTTTCAAAACGAAACAATCAAAAGGTAGAAGTACAAGTGAATGGTAATATGGACATTCTGACATACCTCCAAACTGGTACAGGCAAACAGAGAGCCATGAGTCAGAGACATTCTATTCCATTACCTTTGGGTTATGAGCCCCGGAGAAAGGTACTTATACAACCCCCACAGATGCATCAGAGCCTCTACTACAGTCAGCAATAGTGAACGGTGGTGGCAAAAAGCCCCACCACTCCTAGCGATGCTGAAATACTGAAGGGTTTCTCCATGCATCACCCTACAAGCCCAATTTATGTCATGTTCACTACCTATCTCAGCAATCACAAGATCCTTTATTGAATGAGGTGGCTGCTTGTGCAATCCAGAGATTAGCACAAGTAGAGGAGAGAGCTCTGTGTGATTCAGCTGCTTGTCACTGCCTCAGGGGCCTTGAGCCCTAGTGACTTCTCAAAGGGTGACATTCCATCGGTCAGGTGAGTTCCCCTAAGCACCAATCACCCAACATATCCAGGAGCACAAATTCTGACAAAGAATTCCACAGGGAATTCTCCAGTGTGGCCTGCTGGGGTGCACTGGTTTGTTTGCAAATGTTTTCAATGTTAAAACGCCAAAGAACCACTTAAAATATGGACAGTTTTTTTTTTCTATGACAAACTAAACGAAACAGAAGTAGTGAAATGAATCAGACGATCCGAAGTCCATGCATATTCTAGAATGTGTTACTTTCTATTTCATCTTCTTAAACTCATTTTCTAAATCTGGCATCATCCTCAAGCCAGCTAAAGCTTTGAAGTTTTGGTTTTAGTCTATCCAAAGTGTAGGCTGATTGAATATGTTCATGTTACTGTTCTGGGTGAACATTTTCCCTCAAAATGTACCAAAGTTAAGTGATTTTGAGCCAAGGCTGAAATAGCATTTCACAATTAAAAGGAAAAAAAAGTGTACAGTTATAAACATTGTCATTTTTTAAGTATATTCCATGTCCCTTCTCCCTAGACACATATCTACTGCTATGCATGAACTAATTTAATGTTTTGACTACCAAGAATTAGGTATTATTCTTACTACCTGGATATCATAAGTGAGCTTGGAAAGGGACAGAGAGCCTGGTTAGGCTAGGTGCTGACTCTACAGCTTCTCCCAGGCCTGTCTGGGGTTAAGCTTGGGCTGACTGACACATGCACTCACCTGCCAGAACAGATGGACCTATTCTGAGTCAGGATGGTGAGTTAGCTACAATAAAGATAGTGTTCCTGCTGACCGTGACACTTCAGGATGGGGATCCCTAATCTGGATGCTGCAAAGCTGAATTGCTTTTAAATTCGAGACATTATAGGCACTACCACAATGCCACAAGTACACATCTTTCTACAATGAAAATAATGCAAGCACACTAAAAACAGCATAGGAAGCCGCCTTCTGATTATGGATATATAGGTAAATAAAATGTGACTGTCTTGTTTATATTTAGGTCATCTCTCTTTCATACAGACACACAGAAACACACACACACACACACACGCACACGCACGCATGCACGCACGCACGCACGCACACTCACTCACTCACACTCCAAAATCTGAAAAAAATGGGAAAATCTGACATCTCAAGATTTCAGAGAAGGGCTATTTAACCTATATTTCTATGGTCTTAAGATACTGCCCAGGATTTCCATGTTTTAGTGGGTGCTCTTTATAATGCCCCAGAAGACCGAGTGTTTAGTGCTAAGCTTGTCAGAATGACATTACATGTTCAAAAGACTGTGGAGGTTATGGTGGTTAATTGTATGAGTTAAACTGACTCGGCTTAAGGGTGCCCAGGGATCTGGTAAAATGCTTTTCTGGGTCTGTCTCTGAGAGTACTTACGGATAATGACAACATTTGAATGGGTAAACTGAGTAAAGCAGACTGCTCCCAATACACGGGCCATATCCAATCTACTGAAGGCCTGATTCCTCCCATTTGGTGCTAAAATGTGACACTGGTGTTTCCCTACCTTCAACAGAAACGCTGGTTTTCCTAAAGTCTTGAGCCTGTCAGTAGCTCTCCCCAGGCTCTGGCTTGCCAATCATAGATTTTTGGAATTGCTCAGCCTCTTAACTATATATGGGTGAATTTCTTATAACCTCTTACAACGTACATACACTTCCTCCTTTCCTTCCCCACTCTCTCTCACTCATTATCCACCTATCATCAACATATATATCTGCTTGTCTAGCTATTTAGATAATATCTCATATTGATTCTTCCATTACTACTATTCTATCCAGAACTCTTTAGGACCATATTTTTGGTGGGCCCACTGACACACATCTGTTGTCCCAGCTCTCAGGAGACAGAAGCATCAGGATCTCTAGTTTGATGCCCGTCTGACCTATCCAGAAAGACCTTGCTTTTTTGAGCAGGGAGGGTGGGGTAGAGGGTTGGGAGGAAAAGAGTGAAGAAATTCTTAGAAGCATTTGCTTTCTAGAGAGCAGGGCCTAGTTTGCTAGGGGGAGTTCTGGCTGTTTTGCTGGGACAGAACCTCAGTCCCTGGGTCCCTTTCCCACCATGCTACTTCCTGTGGCTTCCCATCCCCCATGCAGTCACTCCCTCATTCCACAGTGCCTCACTTTACTTTCACACTTGGAAGTGTTTCCCAGGGTCCCATTAGTCAAGGCCAGCGATGGTAGCCTATGGGCTCCCCTGGGTAGGGCTGGGTTGCTGGGAAGGTGTTATGGTTAGGGATGCAGTACACTAGACAGTGGGTAACCTAAACACATCCCATAAGTTAGGATCAGCGTTAGATCATCAAAAATGTTAATTACCTAATTAACAGAACTCAAACCATACTTGTTTCATTACACAAATTATCTTCCCAAAGAAAATGACAGTGCCTTTAGAAGACTGAGAGGATTCAGGTTTCAGACAAGATTTTAATGGATTTGTGCTTGTTTTTTCTTTGAGTGGGATCTAGTACTTAAAACATTACTCAAACCGCCTACCATTGAGCTACATTTCTAGCCCTCTCGAATGTTGGAGGGTGATGCTGTCCAAGTTCACAGTGGATTAGAATTAGTAGAGGGACTGGGGTGACACCTCAGTCAGTAAGTGTTTTCCATACAAGCATGAGAACTTGAGTTCAGGCTGAAATGCCCAAATAAATGCCTGGTGTAGTGGCACACACTTATAGTCCATGCCTTCTGTGGAGTTGGAAACAGGGAAATCCTTATGTAGCCTAACTGGTAAACTTCAACTTCCAGTGACAGACTTAGTCTAAGCAGTAAAGTAGACGGCATCTGAAGAAGGACACAGGAAGTTGACTTTGGGCCTCCACAGGCACATACATACATGTGCATGTGCATTTTCATACACACATATATACCTGCACATATGAAAATAGGTGTGTGTGCTTGCACACAATACATGTACAACTGATTAATTTACAAAAAAAAAAACCTTACGAGGAAAAGAAGAAAAAGTACAGACATGGTAAGGGGATGGTCATTCAAATGCTATCTCCAATTCCTCAATATTCTGATTCTCAAGACTGTATTTAATATAATAAACTTAGGTTGGCTGGGAACCAAGAACCCCACCCTATATAAGCAGGCTCCATCTGTATGAGTTGGAAAACAAAAATTGGTACATGTCCAAATAGGCCTCCTCCATCTCCTTGTGGTTGAAGGCTTGCAATTGGACCCTGGCTGAGAAGGGGAGAGGGCAAGGGTATCCCGACCCACCTCTTCCCCCATCAGGCTGGGTTTTCATAGCTCACCACACCCTGTCCCGGAGATGCTGCCAGGGCCTCAGCAGGCCTCCTACTACTCCAACTATCTTAAAAGGCATCCCATGTTGTGGGCGTAAGTCCAGTTGTCATTTGAAGTAGACTTATAGCTCAGAGAGTCCCAGAATTTTGGGTTTGGAAAGCTCCCTAAAGACATTTATCTGAATGTCTCACATCACGATGGAAGAAATAGATGCTTTGTTAGTC